GCCCTGACAGAACAACACAGAGGAGGGAAGGTTTATTTGGCTCACAGGTTCAGAGACCTCAGTCCACAGACGGCGCACTCCATTGCTCAGGCAGAACATCATGGCAGAGGGAATGGAGGAGGAAAGCAGCTCAAATCTACCAGGAAGCAGAGAGAGCTCCGCTCCCTGGGACAAAATGTAAGCCCCAGAGCAGCCCGGGACTGCCCTCCTCCAGGCCCACGCTCCCTCCTACCCTCACTCCAGTTGATCCTGAGTCTGTTAATCCCGTGGTTAGGCCACCCCTCTCTACTCTAACTTGTCAGTTGTGATGACTACTCAGAGGTGGGACTGAGCCAGGAGGGACTGTCTGGCAGTCACGATTCCTGGGACAGGGTCATAGTGAGCTGTCAGGCTGAGAAGTGGGTAAAGATGGTGGTCACAGGCCAGTTACTTCAGTGCAAAGCTTAGCAATGGAATAAAGGGGTTAGGGAGTAAATTTACAAAGATGATTGGAGACATGAAGTCAATAACACCTTTTAAATACTGGAATTTAAAGTGGCATTAAATAAAAAAAAATAAAGGAGTCAAACAAGTTCAGGAAGAATAAGTTCACATACTACAGATAAAAATCTCGATTATGTAAGTGGGAGATAGGCCATTTCTTAATTAGCCAGAAGACAGGTCTGCGCTGCAGGAGAGGACTTGCTGCGTGGTGGGCGGGCGATGTGCTGGAGTGAGCTCTGCCCCTCACCACCCCTGTTTATTTGCAGTTGAGATGAGGAAGTAATTCACTGTGGTGCTGACAACTGTTCAGGTCATCACGGGGACATTCTGCCTGACTTGATGACATTAATGAGGATTATGGTGAGAGGAGCCCACATTATTTAGGGATGTCATGCTTTCTGCCTCTCAGAGACTTCTGTTACAAGTCACAACCTCCTTAAGAAGCAAGCTCCAGGCCGCCTCTTGCAGCTGGCTCCCAGCACAGCAACTTGCATGCTATAAGGGGGTGTAAATGCAGTTTTCAGCGACCACGGGGGGCCTTTGAAGATACACTGATCTGTAGAGTTATGATGTATAAGCTTTTCTGTGCGCTTATCACACACACCAAGTAAGACATATTTGTTCAGAAAAAGCCTCACAGAATAATCCTTTCTTATGAATTTCCCATATTTCATTCCTAAAAGAACCAACTGTGCGGTGACTTAAATGTAGCTGGATTCCTTCTGTGGACGGATGCATGGAGTGAAGTACCGCGTCAGGGAACAGGATGAGGTGGCTGAGTCACCTGGAGCTGCAGGCTGGAGAGACGCTGTGGGATCCCATTGCTCTGGTAGGAGCACTGC